CTGAGCATGCCTGGCTGTGGAATTCTGGGAGTTGAAGTCCACAAGTCTAAAAAAATTTGAAACCCACCACTGTGTCAGTGTCTCACCAGCCATAATCCTCACTGCACATCACTGCTGTACTATGGTATTTTTCTCAAATGGTATAGGGCTTCCTTCCTGAGCAGGGGGTTCGACTAGAAGACATCCAAGGTCCCTTTCAACTCTTTTATTTTGTTAAATTATATAAACTCAACAGTGTTTTGTCAATCTGAATTAAGGTCTGACTTAAGCATATTATATGAGCCAATGGGTTGCATCTTATTTTATTTTGTCCTGCTCATAGGATAGCAGTTACCAGCAGAATTATAGTAATCTCGCCCTTGAATTTTGTTACATGACCTCAAAACTGTCCTGGAAAGTTACTAGATTATACAGAGTACATTTAAAAGATGCACCAGAGGAGGGGGAAGAGGGGGGAGGACAACAAGAGGAAATAACCTGCTGTAGGACTGGAAATCCACTCAAGTACAAGAGCAAATTCAATTGTCCCTTTTTTTTAGTCCTAATGTCCATATGATGATAGTACTGCAGGCTGTCTTCTAATTAGCCATTCTATTCTGTGCAATACAATATTTTCTTAATTCATTCTCTCTCTCCCCCCCCCTCTCTCTTACACACACACACACACACACACACACAAACACACACACACACTTTTCTCATGTATTAATGTATAATTAAACTATAGCTGTAGCTATATCTGCAGTTATCGTCTATAGGTATTATAAAATCTATCTTTTAGGTCATTTTCTTCTTCCTGATTAAAGTGCCTTCATTAAAACTAATTTACTTGGTATAATTTTACTTGAAAACCCATGTCTAAAAATGTTCTGATTTTTAAGTACCAATTCAAGGATACTGTATTTTTATGCTAATAGCAGAAATTCTCTTAGTATGCAATCAGTTTGAAAAATATAATTTAAAAAAAGTAAAACTATATTATAAAAGCAAAACAATATAAAAACCAAACACAGAGAAAAGCCAAACTGACAAAGTAAACATAAGGAGCTGCAATAATAATAATATATACTATTGATATACATTTCTATATACTTTTGAGTAGACTTGTAAAGAAGTTTAATTTCAGGTACTGTATACAGAATTAATACCTCATTTGGTGTATGCTTCAATCATGCATCAGAGTAAGCACTAGTGTAGTCAACGGAAGAAGAAACTTCTACAGAAATATATTAAGGCAGGAGTGTCAAACTTGCATTGTCACAGTGTTGTCATGTGACATATCGGGACTTTTTCCTCCTTCGCTAAACTGGGCGTGGCCAGCACATGATGCATCCGGCCCACAGGCCACAAGTTTGACAGCCCTGTATTAAGGGATATCTGCAGCTCTGATTGAGTTTGAAGCCTAATCTATATTACCTATGCTTATTTTTACCCTGCCTTTCATTTCCCTGCAAAACTTTAAACTCAAGAGTGGGTAATGCCTACATGAAAGAGACTAGGAAGTGGGAGTGGGGGTTGCATGGCTCACAAAACTCATAGAAAAGAATTCCCTCTTAAAATTGCCCTCCTGTCTTGCAAGATAATTTTAAGAAGCTTCTGTTAATATCAAAGGATGCCTCTTAAAACTAACCGAAGCAAGGACATTTGCTTGTGTGTTCGTTCAGGTTTGTGGGTGAAGCAATGGCTTTAGAAATATTATAGCTTAAAAACTCTTCCATTTTGCTTTTTGTTTTTGGCTAGACAGTGGTTCTCAACCTTCCCAATGCCGCGACCCTTTAATACAGTTCCTCATGTTGTGGTGACCCCCAACCATAAAATTAG